TTGCATCTAAAGATTCAGAAAGCCGGATTGATTTCGAAAAAACTTAGATAAGCAACGAAAGGAAATAAATGTCCCTATAAAAATTAAACAATCTCATGCATTAGTTCCTAAAGTTTTATTCGTATAATCCTTACACATAGACTGTTTGTCCGTATGTTAGAATAAAATACTTCATTTGAATACAGAGTCAAGATCCGTACAACTCAAACTTCAAGTGGACTTTATTAATGAAGTTTACACATCAACGGGCTTAGCTTTTGTCCCTGATTCCGAATATGATAGTTCTATTGCTTTAAAATTGAGTTCTGCTTGAGAAAACTGCGAATTACGGGCAGAATTCTGACTTTTTCGCCTTTTATGTAGAAAAAATGCATATTCTCAGCAACGAAAGAAAAGTTTTAAAAAAGTGATGTGTATCTTTTCCCCCCACTGATATGACGATTGGAATGAAGATAAGAAAAACATTTTTAACTCTTAACCAGAAAAGCTAGATAGGTTTGCAAGATGAGCAGGGGCTATTTTCAGATTCTACTCGGATTTCTCAAAATCTGACTCCATTTTAACTACGGAACTGTCAAATTTGGTTCTCTATAGTTAGTTTTGCATGCTGAATCAGAGAAAATTCGGTTCAAAATGATAGCTCAGAAATAAATAAGGAAATTTTGGTTATTTCTCAGAATTTCATGTATTGTTGGATGGAATACCTGATGTTCTGCTAATCGATTCCATTCTCTGCTTTAGTGAGTAAAAAATAGGAACAACGATGGACAGTATAAGATAAGAAGTTTCCTCCGTGATTGTTAACATAATCCTCAATTGGATCACTCCAAAGTAAATCACACACTGAAGTGTCGATGAAATTTCCCCAGAGGTAACATGACCGAAGTGACGACATATATCTTCTAAAGGAGGGAAAAGAAACTGACAAGTTGAGAATTCTGGAAGAAAAGACGTTATTTTCCTAAATAGGTTAAGGATGTGTGTCATTGAGTATTGTTATCTTTTAAATGTTTTCTACACATACAATTTACAAATAGAAATGTATATAATCTTAGAGCATCAAATTGGCATGTTTAATTCATTAACTGAGCTTGTTGTTACAAAAATGTGCAGAATATCAAATAGGTCAGGATTAATAATCGTTTGTTGTATACCACCAATTGAGTGAATCATTAATCGCTTGATCAATAATAGTTTGTCCTTCAGCATTAGGGTTTAAATAATTTAACCACATAAGTTTTATAACACAATTTGTTACAAATGGTATATAAAAACCATTGAGCGTATTACCTAGTGTCTGCGCCGTCTGCGTCTTTATTGGTTCAGCAAGACTATGCCATAATGATTCATATGCGTCTGTTGGTTGTACAGGCATTGATATATTTAATGAAGATGATCGATTTAAAGCAGCTTGATAAACTACATTAGCTAGTGCAAGGCCAACCCGATTCTCATAATCTGTTTCAACAGAATAATTGATTGAATGATAAGTATTTGTATAATTTACATATCGCTGATGTAAATGTGGAGTGATCACATCCATTATATCGAACACTAATACTATAGCAGCTGAGTAATATTTGTAATCATATAATTCAATGCCGGTTAAATAACCATGTGCAGTAATACCTGCAATACCAGATACTGAATTAGTTTCTATATTATATAGCGATGTATTAAATGGGTAAGATGTTGTTTGACTAATTGATTCTACAGCTACTATATCAAAATCATTTGTAGTCATATTCCATTTGTATACTTTCACACCAATCTCAATTTGTTGAATAGAATCAATCGGTAAATCAGGTCGACCAATGCTTGTGTAATTTTTATCAAAAACTAGGCGAATAGACTGATTCTCAGGCGATATAAATACGTGTTCTGGAGATACAAATGGTTGTTCACCATTTAGGCCATATAGAGCACGTCCACTCAATCCTTGTTTACGTATATAAGTAACTGTATTATTTTCCTTGTTTAAACCCATAATACTCATTCCCACTGTAACTTGTTCAACGGATATTGCTGTTTTACCGTCATATAACAAAATAGGTGTACCTGCTAGAAAGCAACTAGTTATGGTACAAACGAAACCTGTACAAAAACCAGATGCGCAATCACTGGGATTCACGCATGAACAGGCCAGTGGTTTATTCGTACTAGTAGCACATGGGTCTACAGTAGTTAATAAACCAGTTGTAGTGGTAGTTAATAAAGGAATTGGGGTGGTAGTTAATAAAACAGTTGTAGTGGTAGTTAATAAAGAAGTTGTAGGGGAAATTAATAAAGGAATTGTGGTGGTAGTTAATAAAGTAGCTGCAGTGGTAGTTAATAAAGGAATTGTAGTTGTAATTAATAAAGGAGCTGTAGTGGTAGTTAATAAAGGAGCGGTAGTGGTAGTTAATAAAGGAGTTATGGTGGTAGTTAATAAAACAGTTGTAGTGGTAGTTAATAAAACAGTTGTAGTGGTAGTTAATAAAACAGTTGTAGTGGTAGTTAATAAAGGAGTTGTGGTGGTAGTTAGTAAAGGGGCTGTAGTGGTAGTTAATAAAACAGTTGTAGTGGTAGTTAATAAAGGAACTGTGGTGGTAATTAATAAAAGGGCTGTAGTGGTAGTTAATAAAGGGGCTGTAGTGGTAGTTAATAAAGGAATTGGGGTGGTAGTTAATAAAACAGTTGTAGTGGTAGTTAATAAAACAGTTGTAGTGGTAGTTAATAAAACAGTTGTAGTGGTAGTTAATAAAGGAACTGTGGTGGTAATTAATAAAGGAGCTGTAGTGGTAGTTAATAAAGGAACTGTGGTGGTAGTTAATAAAGGAATTGGGGTGGCAGTTAATAAAACAGTTGTAGTGGTAGTTAATAAAGGAACTGTGGTGGTAATTAATAAAGGAGCTGTAGTGGTAGCTAATACAGGAATTGTGGTGGTCGTAACTAAAGAAAACAAAATATGAATCAAAAAAATACGTATTGTCATTTTCCAGATAAGTTTTTACGTGTTTGGTTTTTAATGCTATGTGATTTCCTAAGGTACGAGAAATAACTTCAAGAATAACTTCAAGAAGGGTGAATTTAGTTGAACGGTGAATTTAGTTTTGTAGTTTACTACAAAGCTAAGTTCACATGTTGGAATCTCTATTCGTACAAAAATTGATATTGTGTTTTTCGATAGTTTTAGTTTAGAATACTATAATGGAATATTCTTCCGCTTGTATTCTGACAGAATAAAGCTATAAAACAAACAGAACACAAAAAACATACCAAAAAAATGACTACTGATAACATCGAATCGATTGCACAACTTCAATCGTTGTACAGAATATAGATGCGGAACGGTGAATTTAGTTTTGTAGTTTACTACAAAGCTAAGTTCACATGTTCGAATCTCTATTCGTACAAAAATTGATATTGTGTTTTTCGATAGTTTTAGTTTAGAATACTATAATGGAATATTCTTCCGCTTGTATTCTGACAGAATAAAGCTATAAAATAACTTCAAGAATTCTTCTAATGCTACCGTCTCATTTGTGTTATTGTGTCAGACGGACTTTCAGTCTCGCGAATTTTTCATCACATCCGGACAAAAGTTTATACTACTTAATGAAGTTTAAAAAGCGGCGAGAAAATTAAGTAATTGCGGTACATGAAAGGAAGATCAAGCAAGAAAAGAGATTTAAATATTACATGTAGTAGATGCTAATGCAGTACTTGTCATCATCTGTGTTTCTATAAAAGAAAGAGAGAAAGACGTTACATAATTACCACCAAACATTATGATGCACATACCTGTCGATGATCTTATTCCCTTAGACAGACTTAGACCTGAAGTACTGATTGTTAATCCACTTCCTTCTGTGATAATTGATGAATCAGCTATCGGCGTTTCGTTGGTTGACTCTTGCAGAATGGAAGTGAGAGCATTGGTCACGTCCATCATTCTACTTGTATTTGTTGAAATGATCTTTGTACCTCCTGCTTTCTCGGTGGTGGTTGAAGATTGATCTGATAGTGGAGTTCTAATGTTGGTCGTTGACTGCTGTAGAACCAAACTTGAAACAGTGCTGCTTTCTCCTTTTTCTAATGAAGTACTCATCGGCGAAGCAGTTGAGGTAGGTGAGATCGGTGGCGTAACTTTTAAACTCTAAAAGAAAATATTCGTGATTATAGAAGATCAAACTATCACCGTAAACACTTGCAGCAGTGCTCGTTCCAACTACTGATTGTGTTTGTCGAAATAGTCCTTCTAGAAAGATAGATAAACACTGTAGTAAATAATCATTGTTAAAACACAAAACCCATCGTTATCAATAGTATATCTCACATATTGATATGGTAAAAATGTTTTACCATTCAATTTCTTATCGAGAGATTCACTTTATTATTTATATCCAGATACTACGAAGGAGAGCAAACGGTTGCTGGTAGAAAATAGCCCAATATCGCCTTTGTAGATTTTTCCAGTTTTCTATCCGTAATTTACTGTTCGTAATTTCTATTTATGAGAGAAGCTGTGATTATTTTTATATATCACTATGGGTAAAAATCGAATTTTTCTCCATCTTTCTATGTATGGGTTTTGATCATAGTCTTTGAAATCGTACGAAAAATTTGAGGAACAAAGTGAGTGACCTTCGTTGAACTGGTGACGAAAAATAATAGGAAATAATATTTTCAAGGAGATCAGGGGTAATTTTTTTATTACGTGTTCACTATCAAACAAAGGATAAGTTTTGTAACATACTGAAACGAAAAAAAACTTGGCTGCCGCAAACGGCTGCATTAGTGCGCAAAAGAAGTATTTCGCTCTGCACATCTGTGTCAAACAAGTCTCCATTCAGCAACGGTTGTCGTGAACAGCGAAAGCGCTACGTAAATCAATGATTTTATAGAACTATAACATCGTCTCGAGCTCCTAAACGAAATATTCGAATATCCAATAATTTAGTAGAGAAAGACTTAGGAAGATTTCATCCCTATTTCTGATCTATCTTCTATACAATATTTTTCTCAAAACTGCTGGATTAATATCCCATCCAAACTAGATTGACTCTTTCTAAAGATAACAAAAGAGTAGAGGGAGAACTGAAACAGTGGATGCTTGTATTCCAGAATCTACAAAGCAACCCTAGTCACGCCTCATGTATGACAATCCGTACTTGTACTATTTCTAGTGCTCAGAGTTTCTGGATGTTCTTTTGTAACTGCAGGAGTTGCTTTTGAAGACGAAGTTCGTTGTTGTTGTTTTGTTTCATAAGTCGATGGTATAATCGTTAAGGTGGTTAAAGATCTCATTTTGTTAGTTGTAGCGCCTGGACCAGGAGTAGCAAGTCCCTCGGGTGACGTTTTGTGACGGTTAGGCTCTTGTGTTTTTGTGACTGTTCTTGATGAAGAAAGTTGTCCATTTGAAACTAGAGTTGAGACATGTCCAGCTTTACTTGAGGTCGATGGTTTTGGCCCTGGTTGGCCAGTGGTAGTTGTTGTTGGAGACATCTGCCGTGTTACTGAATTAGTATTACTCTTACCCCCGGTTGATATTGTTGAACCAAAGAATGACATAACTAAAAACGAGAAAAATACATTAGGTAATAACTTCTTACGCACTAAGTTATATTCTATTCTAAGAAAGTCAGAGTGAACATAAGAATACTGTTTGCATGGTTTAAGCGTGGTGGAAAGTATTGTTGATAAAGGTCGTGTGAAAAGGAAATTTTCTCACAAAGGAGCAGAAGAACAGGGAGAACTATGTAAATTTAAATCGAAGTCTTCGAATAAGATACACACGTGATGTATGAGGAAGTTGAAGGTAATGGATACAAACTTAATGCTATTTTTAGTGGATCACACATATCATCCATACTTACATACAGTCTCTTCAAAGCGCAGCACAACAAGTATTTGAGTTGTTACTGTTTGTATTGTATCCTGTTCGCAGCCCAGCGTGTCACAACTAATGGGAAGTATGAGTCGAAACTCAACTATCATTTGAACCGATGTTTCGGAATAACTAGCCGCTTTGTCAACATAGCGATACATTGTGCGATCTATTGTCCGTGTTGGCGCTTGACGTTTCTTCTAAGACGCAAACAGAATCAATTATGTCCTTGTTAGCCTTTCAACAGAATTTCTGTCGCTTTGAACTTATAACACGATCATTTAAGCCGTAGTCTACCTAGAAGCTAGCAGAAAATAATTGAAAAATAATTAGGATATTTGATCTCCGTCTGTTATAATCCATACTTATGAAGAACGACAGTGACAGTTACTACTCTGGCCCAAAATAAAGATGGTTCACAGCGAAAGAACGTAAATACAGGTATGTGTAATTTGTGATACAGAGTTACACTAAGTAGAGGATCTCACCATAATATATTTATAAATGAACAATATCTTTTAATATGGGAAAGACAACTAAATTATGCGCACAAAAAGCAGTAAAACCAATAGTTTTAAGGGATATTCAAATGCTTACCTTTTTTCCAGCATTTTGCAGTTCTCTTATGATTGCATTGACCACCTGAATCCGTGTTCCACGTACTCGACTGTGACCGGTTGCATTATTCAGTTGCTGTTGCAACTAAAAGATCAACAATGTTATTATACTGTAACTCAAAGACTTTTATGCTTGCTATATTTTGCAACAGTGGATATTTTGATTGAGAGATCTGCCCATTTCCGATCAATGATCCATCTGGTAACGTTCCATTTATGGGCAGATTGTAAATTATTTGAATAACGCCACTTTCTCCTAAAAACTAAATAGAATTTTCATTCTCATTTCCTGAGAGCTGTGAGATGAACTTACGTTCACGGACATTAACACTATGTCTTTTTAAATACACAGGAATGAGAGCGACGACGATCGCCCCTGCAAATACTAAGCCGACCAAGCCAAAACAGCACAGAGCCAGTAACGGTAGACCTCCAACTCTAAACCTTGAAACACATATGGATCGGCGGATGGAAGAGAAGAAGAAGGGACATACCTCTTTGCTGAACCTTGGGATGCTTGATACCCCATAGAAGCTGCTGTCTCCATTCAAAGCTGTATTTCCTCGAAACGGCAGTACAGTCATGTACTAATTCCTATTATAAACTTCCCTAATAGATTCCACTTGATGTTTGAGTTCTACGGATCTTGACTCTATATTCAAATGAAATATTTTATTCTAAAATACGGACAAACAGTCTATGTGGAAGGGTTATACGAATAAAACTTTAGGAACTAATGCATGAGATTGTTTAATTTTTATAGGGACATTTATTTCCTTTCGTTGCTTATCTAAGTTTTTTCGAAATCAATCCGGCTTTCTGAATCTTTAGATGCAACATTCATACACAATCCAATGTTTCAAACGATAGTATCATTTAATTAATTGATGAAGAGAATAGGTTTGGCGATATATAAAGGCGCTATGATCAAAGCGGAGAATAAAAATCGAACGGAGGAAGAGAATTGATATAATTCCTAAGAGTTTATATTCCCGATAAAAATTCATACCCGAAAACCTATTTCTAATCTGCTATCGAAGTAATTGATCAGAGTAACAAAAATAGGTAATATAGATCTGTTTTCTATATGCTTTGAAGCTTCGATAAAAAATGCATCTTCTCCTGTGACTATTCTATGACAACAAAGAATATGCATTCGTTTTATATTAATCATAAATCCGAGCTTGTTTGCATTCTGTATATGAAAAAGGATTAAAATATTATTTCTAATAAGATGATTCTTGCTCCTTGTTATTGACAACGAATCAGATAGATATAAAAATGTACAGTAGTCAGTCACAATCAACTCTGTTTATCGATAGTTACTAAATGAGAAAACAATTTTTCATTCAAGTTAAAATAATGTGTTATGCATATACAAACTATGCCTAATCTCCGTCTGTAGAAGGATTATAATCAGTTTTATGTGCCAGTATAGGCAAGAAATTTTTTGTCTTTGCATGGTTCATTTTTTGACAAATATTAATGTGGATGTTTTATTGTTAAATGTTGGAACTATTAATGATAACGCATGAGCTCAGTATCTAAAGCAGCGATTTAGCAATCACCGTTTTGTTTTGCATAACCAGATCATATATAAATATCACGCCTTTTCCTTCGAAATATACAAAACATTTGCTTAGATGTTTTTCTAAGTTTTTTTCTTGCTGTAAATTACTGTAGAAGACTAGTCCACCATAATGGTACTGATGAACAGTACCTAGTGGATCCTAACCTGATGGATCCTAGGATCCACTAACAAAAAAACAGTGCCTGATTAGTACCAGAACAAACTCATACAAACGCGTTAAATATATTAACGCATTCTAACGAGTTAGAACATCTTGAATACAAAGAATTTTATTCTAACGAATGTTAACGCGTTCGAAGTCGTTAAAAAAACCGAACGAGTTTGAACGCTCTACTACTGAGGTGTAACTTTAGTACACGTTATAAATTGAACTCGTTAAAACCGCCGAATATGAAACGCGATTTTAACGCGTTAATCCGCTTACCTGTCGCGGGACAACTTCAAACCTTTCCTGATTAACTAGTTTTAACCCAGCTTTTACTATTTTTGGAATAAAGTTGTGTTTTAGCGAGTGAGTGTTAATTTTGAGACATTTTCGGTCGCATACAACTTTGAAAGATGCCACGTTTGCACGCTTTCCACAGCATCCAAATTGTGAGCACGCGTTAAGATATTAGTTCTTTTAACGCGTGCTAACCTGCGTTAGAGTATCAAAATTATTTCATGGGTAGAAATACACATCAACCGGCTCAGCTTTTGCCCCTGATTCCGAATATGATAGTTCTATTGCTCAAAAATTGATCACTGGCAAGTCGCAGTTTTATGCATATTCTCAGCAACGAAAGAAAAGTTTTAAAAAAGCGATGGGTATCTTCCCCAAAACGCATCTAAGTATTATTAATCAAAACACATTAAAGTATTATTTCTAATAAGATGATTCTTGCTCCTTGTTATTGACAACGAGTCAGATAGATATAAAAATGTACAGTAGTCAGTCACAATCAACTCTGTTTATCGATAGTTACTAAATGAGAAAACAATTTTTCATTCAAGTTAAAGCAATGTGTTATGCATGGATGAAAGAGATACCTCTATAGAAAAAATAAAATGTGTAAGATTCAACGGTGATTACTGAAGCTTGAAAATACAAAACAAAATGGACTAATACGATCAATGGTTATTTATGAAATTTGTTGGTAGAGCAGCAGGAAATAAGTATTTGTAAATCGAATATAGAACTGCCTTATAACCTTTCCTGATTAACTAGTTTTAACCCAGCTTTTACTATTTTTGGAATAAAGTCGTGTTTTAGCGAGTGAGTGTTAATTTTGAGACATTTTCGGTCGCATACAACTTCGAAAGATGCCACGTTTACACGCTTTCCACAGCATCCAAATTGTGAGCACGCGTTAAGATATTAGTTCTTTTAACGCGTGCTAACCTGCGTTAGAGTATCAAAATTATTTCATGGGTAGAAATACACATCAACCGGCTCAGCTGTTGCCCCTGATTCCGAATATGATAGTTCTATTGCTCAAAAATTGATCACTGGCAAGTCGCAGTTTTATGCATATTCTCAGCAACGAAAGAAAAGTTTTAAAAAAGCGATGGGTATCTTCCCCAAAACGCATCTAAGTATTATTAATCAAAACACATTAAAGTATTATTTCTAATAAGATGATTCTTGCTCCTTGTTATTGACAACGAGTCAGATAGATATAAAAATGTACAGTAGTCAGTCACAATCAACTCTGTTTATCGATAGTTACTAAATGAGAAAACAATTTTTCATTCAAGTTAAAGCAATGTGTTATGCATGGATGAAAGAGATACCTCTATAGAAAAAATAAAATGTGTAAGATTCAACGGTGATTACTGAAGCTTGAAAATACAAAACAAAATGGACTAATACGATCAATGGTTATTTGTTTGCTCTTATGTGGACTCTCTCTATCTCTTGTTTTTATCATAATATGTAAATCATCCAACGACTGAAGTTATGATGCATTATTCTCATAAAAAACGATATTCTAGCAGGAATATTTCTTTTGTAAAAGAAAATTTTACATTTTATGGCCATTTTAAAGGAAAATTATGCCTTTCCTTCAAGAATTCTCAACTTGTCAGTTTCTTTTCCCTCCTTTAGAAGATATATGTCGTCACTTCGGTCATGTTACCTCTGGGGAAATTTCATCGACACTCCAGTGTGTGATTTACTTTGGAGTGATCCACATGACTATATGTATGTAC